GGGATCGAGTCCCACGTCGGGCTCCCGGTGCATGGAGCCTGCTTCTCCCTCTGCCTGTGTCTCTGCCTCTCTCTCTCTCACTGAGTGCCTATCATAAATAAATAAAAATTAAAAAAAAAAGAACTTTGCACATCAAAGTAACATGGCAGGAGTAGGAGGTTAAGGGGTGAGTTCAGGTTCAAAGTTTTGATGGTGTAAATGTAGGCACTATATGCGGCAGAGGCAGAATTTTAGCAAGAACATATGGACCCTGGTGTCCCCCTAGAATCCCAAAGGGAAGATTTGGTTAGGGAGCAAACCTGCGCCTCTCTCCCTAAGCCCTGGGACGGACACATGTCACAACTAGTTTGTGGTGCTTTCTCCTGAGTTCCACCAAGAAGCCCAGTTGTCTCCAGGAATCTGAGACTCAGGACGAAATATCCCAGGCCTCATACCGCTCCTTCAGCTTCCGAGTTTAGGAAGAGCCAGGCCACCTCCCGCATGCCTGCTTTCCCAGGGACAAAGCCCTCTCCTTCCTTCCTCCTCCTTCTGCTTTTCCTTCCTCGGCCAGAATCACACTTAATGCACGTGGGCTATCCTCTCCCCTGATCCCACCCTCCCAGAAAAGGAGCCAGCACCTGAAACGAGCTCAACACTGAAGCCATGCCCATAGCCATGCCAGCGCCATCCACCTTCCTTTCCCCAACCCAGGACACCTTCCCTGCTCCAAAGCATTCATATATTCACCCATCCTTTAATAGCAACAGAAGCTGGGGCCTGGAAGCTTTAGCACAGTCATAGCCAAAGAAACACAGTTCAACAGCCAAAAGCACTTATAAATGATTTTTTTTCCTGCCATCTCTCAAAGAAAAACAGAGTATTGTGGTGGATGTTGGTGCCCAGCTCAGATCCCCTTTCCTGGCTGAGGGCACCCAGCCCACAGCAGCAGAGAATACTAGACACTCACAGCTCATAGCTGCCCCCTTCTCCTGCCAATTGCCCTGAGCTAAGCAGGGGCTGCCTCTCCCCAACTAACATGGAGTACAGTTCAGCCTCCAGAGCTCCGCATGGGACCAGGCTGAGGCTAGTCTCTACCTGAGACCACATCCTTGCTGATTTCCTCTTTGAATGCAAATTTAAGATTGTACCCCAAAATTCACTAACAAAAATAAATAATATTTTAGTTCCATATTTGTAAAAATTTATTTATTCATTTATTTACTTATTTATTTATTTAAGAGGGATAGAGAGAGAGTGCCTGAGAGCGGAGGGCAATGGGCAGAGGGAGAGGAGAGAGAAAATCCTAAGCAGGCTCCATGCCCAGCTCAGCTAGGAGCCCAACACAGGGGTCCAACTCGCAACCTCAAGATCATGACCTGAGGCAAAACCAAAGGTCAGATGCTTAACAGAGCCACCCAGGCATGCCTACTTCCATATTAAAAAAAAAAAATCAAAACTAATGCGTAAAATGCATACGTGAAAGATCAAAATTTTATACAACGATGGAATCCAACTCTAAACTTGCATAACCCTGTCTCACTTGCCTCCCCCTAATCCCAACCCTACCTGTAAGCACATCCTCAATACCTCATATATACCCAAATCCTTGCCTCAGGCTCTGCTTTGGGGAAACCCTGCCTAAGACAGACATCCAACTCAGAACCTAGTCCTTTCTCTCTCCAGCCACTGCCCTGGCTCTGAGTTGTGTGCTGAGCACTCACATGGTAACCATTTCATCCTGCTGCCTGAGTTGGGCAACTATTATGTGTCAGGTACATTCCCTGCTCTGCAGTCTGGCCCTAGTTCTAGCTGCTGGAACCTTCCCCTCCATGCTCAGGGCCTGGTCTCTCAGTACTTTCCAATCACATGACCTCAGCCATAACTTTGCCTATCTGGGTATCCCTAAGCTCAAAGGAGCCCAAGAGACTGTGTTAGCTCCATGAACACCAAACTTTGGTGTTTCATGAACCAGTTACACTTCCCAGTCTTGAGACTGTCCTAGAGCTTCCACCTTTCTATGTTTGCCAAGTAAGGGTGTTGCAAGAATAAAGTTGTCCTTTACCACTCCCACCATTTCAGAAAAGAAACAGGGTATTAATACCACCAAAAATTGGTAGACCAAGACATCTTTCTCAGCAGAAAACATCTTACTTTATGAAAAAACTTATTCTATTGTCTATATCCTCTTTCTCTCTCTCTGTTTCTCTGCAGACTGGTAAAAACTTGACCATATACAGGTTCTGGTGGGCTGGGGTTGTCAGTCTCCCTGTTTGACATCAGGGGAAACTGAGGCCCAAAGAGTGGCTCTGTCTTTCCCATCCAGACCCTGGGCATTGGACTTTCCCCTGGGGGAAACAGGAATGAACGAGGTGCTGGAGGATGCAAGAGACACGGCTTCCAGTCCCGCTCTGCTCCTAATTTTCCAAGAACCTACACAAATTTCTTTCCCTCTCTGAGCCATGAGCATGTGGATTTTTCCAGATGACCCTGAGCTGGAAGGCACTCTCTGGTCCAGCAGGGAAGGCTCGGGGCATAGGCCCTGCCTGAACAAATGAGCCAGCTTGGCTGGAGAAACGGGACTGGACATCAAGCTTCTTTCTCTGACATCATGTTTAGGCCTCAGTTTCCTCTTCTGGAAATGAGTTCTCAGATCCTCACCAACTGACAGTTGGCTCACAGCAGCATAGGAGCCAAGGGGTGGACACTTGGCAAAAGCCAAACCACCTGGAGAAAGAGGCTGGCCTAGTGCCTCAAATGAAAGGCACACAGGCTATTTCCTCCAGAGGGACCCCGCCCAGGCCAGAGATGCAGAACTCCAACCAGGGAATCCTAACACTTGCATCCTTGTGCCAAACCTTCCCTGTCCGGTGGGAGGGCCCTTGTGGCCCCGGGAGCCAGCTGGGTTCTTGGTGATTCTTCTCTCTGGTTGCTGACTGTGATTAGGGGCGATGCTATGGAAGGAAGTGGGTTTCAGGTGTCTAGGAAATTGCCCCAGCTGCCCCGCCACAGATACAGCAGGGTCGAGGGAAACGGGGCTCAACAAAGTGGCATCTTTGCAAGTGTGGTTAAAGCTGTCGATGTGACTTGGAGCAAGTCACTTAACCTCTCTGTGCCTATTTCCTCAATACACAGGTGGGGGTGGGGAAGAAGACTCAATTGTCTCTCAGCATTCCCCTCAAACCTGACAATCTATGCATTTTCTACCCCAGATGTCTCTGAATGAGCCACAGAGACAGGAAACCAGAACACAGATGAAGGTCCCCTCTATGGAGCTGGCCCAAAGATTTCTGGGGGCCACAGTTTTTGTCTTTGAATGCAGGGGAATATTATGGTGCTGAATGCAAAATTCCCACGCTTTTTTTTTTTAAACAAAGCGTATGTACTCAAAATACTTTTATGTTTTAAAAATAAGCACACAACCCCAAAATAACTTTAGTGAGGGTTTGGTTTTCCCTAAGGGAAGGAGGGGTCTTCAGGCAATGCTCCCGATCCTGATCCCCAGGGTGTGCGAGTGTGTCCCTCTGCTGTGGGGGCTCATTTGTTCATCCCCTAACTCCTGTTGAGTGCCCACGATGCATGGGGTACAGGGGTGCTGGGTGCCCAGGGCATGTTTCCTGGACAACTGAGGCCTGCTTCTTTTCATGGCACCTTAACTCAGCCCTCTCCAAGAGAAAAGCAGCCGCCGAGAACCCAGTCAGTACCTGGAGCCTCGAGGATCCTCCCTTACCTTGAGCTAAGTGCTGGCTTTTGCCCAGAGATGTTCCACTCAACCTCTGGAAGACTTAGAGCACTGGCTACAGAAGAAAGAAGAGAGGAGGGAGGAGAGATGGGAAGAGGAGAAAGAGGAGGAGGAGGAGGAGGAGGAGGAGGAGGAGGAGGAGGAGGAGGAGGAGGAAAGGGGTGAAGCAGTCACAGAGCAGCAAGGTAGACTGAGAAGACAGGGGCCAGCCCGCCTTTAACCCGGCTCCTCACAGTGGTCTTGCTCTACACCCCACGTCTCGGGACAGAGCCCAGAAATCCACGAGTTCTAGAGCCCCTCAGGAATTTGAGTGACCCGAGACCCCTGCAGCATTTCCATAGGACATCGAGAGGAGAAACCAGCCAGCCCCCATCACCCCTGAAGGAGCCAGATGATGCCCAGAGAAGCCTTTCAGATGGTTCCAGAAGCCCTGGAGCTCTTCTGACTTCACCCCTGCACCTTCTCAACCACCTTCGCAGGGTACCCTGAATTTTTGAGAACATGGATCTCAGCAAGGTGAAGCAACTTGCTCAAAGCCCCACGGCCAAGAAAGCAGAAAGGGGCAGAGCTTTCTACCAAGTCCACTCCATCGTGAGGGACACAGACTGGACAGGACCGTTGGTGGCAAAATTGCAAACGCTGCACACTAATTGAGCACGGGCCCCTGAGCTTGTGCACACCCATTGTGTGGATGCCTGATTCCAGATTCTTGCCTTTAAATAGCTGATTGTGGCAAAGGAAGGAAGGAAGGAAGGAAGGAAGGAAGGAAGGAAGGAAGGAAGGAAGGAAGGAAAAGAATGAATAAGGGCCACCTGGGTGGCTCAGTGTTGAGCATCTGTCTTTGACTCAGGTAGTGATCCTGGGATCCCGGGATCAAATCCTGCATCGGACTCCCTCCAGGAGCCTGCTTCTCCTTCTGCCTGTGTCTCGGCCTCTCTCTCTGGGTCTCTCATGAATAAATAAATAAAATCTTTAAAAAAAAAAAAGAAAGAATAAAACATGTCCTCCCCTACCCCAAAAACCCTATGAGGCAGTGTCATCCTTGCCCCCATTTTACAGATAAGGAAACCAAGGCCTCATAGCTAGGAAAACAAGGAACGTGAAAGCACGCAGTGGGATTCCAGAAGTGCCCCCAGCCACACCACCCTGACCCTCCAGACACATCTGAACCAGACAGGCTTCTCCCCACACCAGCCCAGCCAATGCCACCCGGACTCTTCCTGCTGCCCCCCTGCCCTGCCCTCACCCCGCCCAGTGCCCGTACAGGGGAAGACAGTTTTACCAGTTCAGTGAGGGTGACAAGGACACCAGGCGTCTCATTCAGGACCCAGGACATGTCCGTGGCAACCACCTCTGGCCGCAGGCTCTATGAGAAAGAAAGTTGGCAGGCGGGCAGGCAGTGTAGACATGGGGGTGTGCCAAGATTGCAACACTTGTCCCCATGGCCTCCCACGCTGGCTCTGTTTCTCTGAGCTCTGCTAAAGTGCAGTTTTGTGACGTTTAAAAAAGAAAAAAAAAAAGAAAGCCCAATTCTGGTCACTCTGCCTACAGGACACGTCCTCCCTGGAGGTGTGAGGAAGTTGGAAATACGCACTTCTGTGGACTTCACTCTGTAACTGCCTGGCCGCAGGTCTCTGTAGCAGGGCGGGGCTGCTGCTTGCTTGCCTCTGGAGAAAATCCCTGGCCTAAAAGCTCCCCTCACCCTGAGACCACAGCACCTGAATGCCCACCAGCCCAGACATTCTCCGCTGACATAAGCCGTCGTGCTCACAAACCCCTACTCCCGCAAGCTGTCATCCGCTGCAGATACGCTGGGAAGGAGTTGACTGCTTTGGTTTTCAACTAGACATCTGGATGAGAACAGGCTTCTGAAGGAATGGGGCATTTGATTAAAAAAAAAATGAAAGAAGAGATATGAGATAGCCCTAATTTGGAATAGGGAGAGTCTGAGACAGGTAAGACAGAAAGGCCTAGAAATCACAAAGGAGGAAGCTATGAAGATTCTGGACAAAGGGGCCAGGAAAACAGGAAGAGCCCTTGGGGTGTACAGTCAAGTGTACAGGCAGGTGGAGGAGGAGGTGTCAGCAGCCAGTCCCCTTGGTCAGCTGCTGTGTGTCCTGAGGCAGCCGACCAACCTCTCTGAGCCTCTCCCTGGACAGGAACGTATGGCTGCAAACAGGTGAGGGGCTCGAGCAAAATGAGGCACTTAAAAACTCAGTCTCATTTCAGAAAGTATTTACTGAGGACCTCCAGGCACTCATTTGGTTTTAACTCCCTTTACAGGGACCTACTAAGTGCAGGGCCCAGTGCCAAGCCCTTTACGTGGATCATCTCTTTGAATCGTCCCCATGCACATTTCAAAGGCAGGCAGGGAAGCCGGCAACAAATATCGGGTGAAGTAGAGGTGGAAGGGGCCGCTGGGCACACATCCTCTCTCTGGGCCTCAGTTTCCATGGCTGTAAAATGGGACCCCCGTGCCCCACCTCCATTTTTCTGAGGAGTCTGTGATTACCGGCCCCAGAAGACAATCTGCAAGATGGGAAGTGGGACAGGCCAGAAGCGCAGCAGGGACTCAGCCAGTGGAAGCTACCTGTCCCCCGGGGGACACAGAGAGCTCTTAGAAGGGGGAACTTTGGGTGATGTTGGCATCCCGGGAAACTCGAGATGCCAGTGCTGGGAGAGGGCCGAGAATGTGGAACGAACAGCAAAGGGAACGAACAGCCGGGGCCAGCTGGGCTGGACAGGGGGGAGGCCCAGGCCCCAGCCGGCCGAGGGCCCCACCACCAGGCCTGCCAGGAATGGGTGAGCGCAAGGTGAGAGCATCGCCCAGCTAGGCTCCGGGAAGCCGCCCTGCCCTTCCCCAAGCCCTGTTTCGGATTTCCTCCATGGCTGAGGGTTTTCACAGGAGGGGAGGGAAAAACCAGACAAAGAAAGGCCCATTGAGGCCAGAAAGGCCCATTGAGGCCAGACAGGCCCTGCGCTCCCCAGGAGAGGAGAGGCTGGAGATTCAAGGTCCCCACCCAGTCCTGTCTTTTCGGGCCAAGGGAGGAAATGGAGAGTGAGCATGCAGCGAAGCATGACCTTGGCACGGTCCACACTTGGCATTTCTTGGCCTCTCCTGGCTCAGGACTTCCGGGCCCGCCCCTCTTTCTGTACTCTTGGAGCCAGGCACCCTCACCAGAGGCCACAGCCATTTTCAGCCCCCCCTCTGAGCCACACATGATCTCATGGAAGCTGCATAAACCCCCAGCGGCCCCCAATTTACAATGGAGGAAACTGAGGCACAGAGCAGTTAAGCGATCTTCTCTAGGTTTCACAGCCAGGCAGAAAAGGGTTTCAAAACAGGTCTGGATGCTGGCAAAACTCCTGTTCTACCCACCAGGTGGCCGTCCCATTCTTACTCCAGGGACACCCTTTTACTACATGAGCCAAATCCCTGACAGCTGCAGAGGCCCCCTGTGCATCAAGTTTGCCATAAAAGAGACAGCAAATTGCCCACACTCCCCAAAGACTCTCTTTTGACGCCAGTCGGCTTGACCTCCCTGCCGCTGGGAGGCCAGTGAACCCTCCAGCGCCCAGCCTGGTTCAGTCTGGCTCCAACAGGACAGTGGCAAAGTGTCCCCACAGTAAACAAGTCACAGGCCGACCACGGGGGCCAGCCTAAGACAACTTTCTTTAGCCCTAGAGGAAACACCTCGTCTTCCCTAAGCTCCAGGTCTACATCTGTCAGCAAGTCCTGGGTACAGGAGGAGAGGGGGCCCATCATTCAGTCACGAAAGCCAACAAAGCAAGGAAATATTCTCTCCTCCAAGCTGGTTTCTGGACCAGACGACCTGGGACATAGAGCCACAAACCCACATGCCCTCTGCCAAGTTGGAATTTCAAACTCAATTAGCTTGGGGTTGTCTGGAATCTTCGATTGTTCAAGCGTTCAAGCTTGAGCATGGAGTTTGGAGAGAGTATGCCTCGAGGACAACAGGATGCTGCTCTGGTGAAGTGGGGCAGCATGGACCACCCAGAAAATTGGGTGTGATCTTCCAAGACCCTGCAGGGCATCCAGACACCCTCCAGCCACTCCCTGCTTCCATCCACCACACCAGATACCCCTGGCTCATCAAGCCTCCAAATCTCTGTTCATGCTGCCCTCCCTACCTTAAGTATCTTTTATTTCTGGCCAACTTCTGCTCCAGCCAACTAGAGGCCTCCTCATCCAAAGCCACCTCATCCTTGGAGCCAGCTCAAATCCACACCTCCTTCTCAAGGCACTATTTCCAGATATTGCCCGGCAAAGAAACTCCAGCAAAGCTCCCTGTCCTTGCAGCACTTTGCACACTGAGTGCAGCAGGCAGGCACTAATGTGAGTGTATTTAATGTGATCCGCTTCCTCAGGGCACCTGACTCTTGGTCAGGTTCTAGTGAGGGACGTCTTCTGGGCTGCAAATGGCCGACTTCACGCTGTGTCTCCACACAGCAGAGGGAGGCAGGGGAGCTCCCTAGAGTTTCTTATAAGAGCATGACCTAAGCCTTGGTATTGGCTCAGGTCATGATCTCAGGGTTGTGGGATAGACCCCCAAGTCAGGCTAGGCACAAAGTCTGCTTGTCCCTTTCCCTCTGTCCCCCCACTAGCTCTCTCTCTCTCTCTCAAATAAAATCTGTTTAAAAAAAGAAGAAGAAAGAAAAAAGGAAAGAAAGCTCAACAATATGCTTTTAGTCAAATGGCCAGGGTTCACCTACTGATGGTGGGTGGAAATGTAACCGGTGATTGTGACCCAGGAGCAGTTGGCCCCTTGCACCTTCCCATTAAAGCCAACCTTCTGGCTAGAAGGACTCCACTCTGTTTACATACCTGTCTTCCCCCTTGACTGGGAGCCCCCTCCCCCAAGGCCTGGTTTGTCTCATCCTGAATCCCATGCTCCTGGCACACAGTAGGTGCTCAGTCAATACTGGTGGGATGCATGGAGGCTCTATCCTGGCTCTCTCACTACCTTCATGGGCTCCTTTAGACATGTCCCTCTCCCTTTCTCAAGCTTGTTTCTCCATCTGAGAAGTGAAAGGGTAGATTAACTCACTCCAGGCTGTGGTCTGAATGTTTGGGCCACCACCACCCCCAACAACCCAATTCATATATTGATGTGCTAACACCCAATGGCATAGCATTGAGAGGTGGGGTCTTGGAGAGGTGAGGAGGTCATGAGGGTAGAGCCCTCCTGAGTGGGATTACTGCTCTTATAAGAAACTCTAGGAGGCTGCCCTGCCTCCCTCTACTGTGTGGAGACACAGCGTGAAGTCGGCCATTTGCAGCCCAGAAGAGGTCCCTCACTAGAACCTGACCATGCTGGCACCCTGATCCTGAACTTCCAGGCTTCAGAACTATAAACCATGAGTTTCTGCTGCTTAGAGTCAGTCTTTGGCATTTTGTGAGACTAAGACACCCAGAAATGACCCATGCTTATCTCAGATGACCACTGTCATCCATTGAATTTTAAGGTCAAATTTGGTTGATACTTGTCATCACAGATGAGCCCTAACACAGAACCACCCCCCCATACATACATGTCACTCCCCCCCATCAAGAGGCGGACTCTGTTCTGTTTCCCTTAGAGTCTGAGCTGGGTTGGTGACATGCTGTGACCAATGGAAAGTGGCAGAGGTGATGCTGTGCCAACCCTAGGCCTAGATCTCAAGAGGCCTGGCAGCTTTGCCTTTCACACTTCCAGAGCCCTGAGGCTCCATATAGAGAAGTCCAGGCAGTGCTGCCACATGGGGAGAGGCAGCCCAAGTCCCAGCAGGATGTGAGGCCATCTTAAGTGGCCCTGCTGCAGTCAAGCTCCCAGTTGAATGCAGCTCATGAGTGACCCAACTGATACCACATAGAACAAACATGGGCCATCCCTGCAGAACTCTGCCCAGCTACAGAACTGTGAACAAATAAGTCCTTTCAAGCCACCATATTTTAGAGTGGTTTGAACCACAGAGATAAATAACTGAAACCTTTGGGTTCAAATAGAGGGAGAGGCATGACTGGATTTCATGTCTGCCATGGCTTGTAAGTGAGGATTATGGAACTCCATCCCTGGACTAGACAATGTCAATTCAACTCAATGTCAGTTCGAGAAATTTCTTGGGCCTACTGGATATGAAGGTTCCAAACCGAGAGGGGATTAACCCATCAGAGATAACCTGAACCCCACTAGGATTAAATGAATCCAGTGGTCCCTCTTGGGATGTTTAAACAGACAACTCAGAGAGGGTGGAGCAATCAGTAGCAGAACTAGGAACAGAAAGAGAAACTCAGAGACAGAATTGGAGGAAACCGAGCCATATGGGTAAAAGAGCAGAACAGGGAGCTGCAGGGGACGAGATAGC